CATTCGCTGGCTGGGGAATTCTGGGAGTTGAAGTCCGGACATCTTCAAGTTGCCAAGGTTGAGAAACACTGATCTACAGCCTCCAAGTTAAAACTTTCCAGTGTCCATTTGAAATTTGCTTTCTGTCTTCACCCTAATGGTGCCCGCACATCATAGCCAACCAGACTCGTGCCGGGACCGAGCCAAAACATTCCCACGAACGGCTAAAGCGCGTGAGGGTTAATTCTGATTCGGATTTGCCGTTCCCACGGTGTTGCGTAAACGAAGCTCGCTTGGCTAGACCGACTGGGGAGACGGTGCAAATCCCTCCAAATTGATTTAATTCAGAAGCGTCGGATTTTGCCCTCGGAGGGACTTATCACGGGATTACGCCAGATCAGGAAAATTCAAAATAGGCAGATAAGAGAGCTAGGGAAACAAATCTTCTCTCTGTCTGCCTGCTTCTCTTTTTTCAGCCCTTCGGCTCATGAGGGCGATGTTTTCCTGCCGTCTTGCAGAGCTGCTGAGCTACGCAAAAAACCCCGAGAAATGCCCTGGAATGGGAAGAAATGCCCACCACGCCAAATCAAAGCTACATTTGCAGATTAGGAGGAAACCACCCGACTTCCTACTGCAGTAGAAATTGTGTGGAGGGCATCGCCCAAGATGGAAAGGAAAGAAGAGGGCTCTTTATTCCAGAAATTCGCACCCAGCTCCTTGACCCATTCAAATATGGGTAGGGGGGGTCCCCCATTTAGTCGCTAACCCTCCTTAGGATTTTTGCTTTGCTTTGCATCCCTCTGGCGTATTAATTTTGAGACGCCTCGTCTCCCCGGGAGGCCTAGACAAACGCTGGTTGGTTACCTAGTGGTTGCTATAGCAACCGCGCCTTCCCATTCAAACCAGGAGTCTGGTCCTCCCTGTAAAATTTAAAAATACTTTGGATGGGGAGGGGGGGGAAGCTGTTTCAGCAGATGGAGAGAAATGATTCCGAGCGGAAGCAGGTGAACGCGGGGCCTGAAAAATGAAGAGCTGTTCCCCTTTTGCACAGATGAAAATGGTTTTCCCCCCTCTCCCCCCAATGAACTGAAAACCTTTTTGATCTCCTCCTGGGTGGGGACTGAAGATGGATGGTCCCAGAGGCATCCAGTGGAGGAATTCATTGGTTTGGTTCCCAATGAAAGATTGAGCGACTCTAGGAAACCATCAATTTCCTTGAAGAGGAGAGAGAGGGAGAATTAGGAATGAAGTCTCGATGGCAAATTGAAAGGTCCTATTTCCATTCCAGCATTAAAACCTGGTGGTTTTATATTTTTATTCATGTCTTCTGGAGGGTTTTCAGTTCTTCAGTTCTCCCGTCACCTCAATGCTGAATTAAATGTCCTGGCTAAGCAGGGGGATGGACTAGAAGGCCTCCAAGGTCCCTCCCAACTCTGTAACTCCAAATTCACGTTGGTTTGTGTCAGAGCAAAGCGTTGCGCCCCAGAAATAAAAGAAAAGCCCCTTGATTGCCAAGGCTTCAGCTCCATCCCTGAACCCCAACCTTGACAGAATGGCAAATATTCTGTCATTCAAGCGATGGCATCGTTGTAACGAAGGGAACGGTCTGCTTAAAGGAAGAAAGTCAAACCATCTTATTGGCCAGTAGGGAATCCTTGGAGGCACCTCAAACATCCTTCTTGACTCAAATTTTTATTATTATTATTATTATTATTATNGACCCAGACTGTGGGGGCGATATGCTGACTCTGTAAACCGCTTAGAGAGGGCTGAAAGCCCTATGAAGCGGTAGATAAGTCTAACTGCTATTGCTGTTGCTATTGCCATCATATTGCTAGGAGTTGAACTGAGGGCAGTGGATTCCCATGCCAATAGCTGGAGTTACTTTTTATTTACTAAATCCTCAAGATTCTCCAGCTGGAAAACATTGTTGGACGTCTCTGCTTGTCTCCAGGGTCTATTTCTGTCATCCAAGCGATTGTTCCTGATGCAGCAAATTTCCACGACTTCCTTTTAATTTTGGTCGTGTTTTTGTAGACCAACAATAGTTAGAAACCCTTGTTGATCTGCTCCAGAGGTGGAGAAGTTGTTCTGCCTGGCACTTTCCGGCAACAGAAGGAGAAGCTCCATCCTCCATGTCTTTCCAGATACAATTAGAAGTGATTTCATTAGATTTGGGAGAAGTAAAATCAACTTATCAATCTATAAACCCAGGGTGGGATTCTAGCTCATCATTTCAGATTTAGGTCGGTGAAAAGAAAGAGAGGGGGAAATGAATTATTTCCCAAATTAACTGGGCATGAAATTGAAGAGACGGGAACTCGCAGCCCACCTCCTAGAGAAAAAAGATTTATTCGTGGACTATGAAATCTCACGGAAGAGTCAACGAGAGAGGAAAAAAGTTGCTGGACAGAACCTGTATGAAATGATTGCCCTCCGAAGCGTGTGAGAGGAAAGGCTTGGGGTTTTATTTTTTAACTAGAATTAAATTCTCCACTGGGAAAATTTGGGATTGCAGAAAATGAGCCTTTTGCATGTCTGCTCCTCATAGAATGAGAAATCACACCTGGATTTACACAGGTACAAATGATTAGGAAATATACACGCACACACACACACATCTGTTACGGTGTCCTGTCTAAAACAAGCTAAGCCTAAACTTCCCAATTCTCGGGCCAATGAAGGGGTTACTCAGTTTCCCCCAGAGCTCAAAATATGCTTTTTGCCAAGGATTTATAGGATGCGGTGAAGACTTTGCAGGCTGAATTCCAACCATCGGGCCTTCCTTTGTCGTGAAGTTTGTTTACGTGGTTAGGATCAGGCGTTTATGCCATAACCTCCAAAAAGCCGCGATAAGAATAAACAAGAGTGTACTTAGAATCACATAGAGCCACCACTGGCTTAGATTCACCAAACCAATGTCAGGTTCCTCCTGAAAGTAATCCAAGAAAGCCACCGCGAGGAGTTTTTGGACCATTGCTGGAAACCAAATGATCCGCTGTAATCCACCTTGGGCTCAGAGTAAAAATGATTCTTTTTCAGTCATCGAACTGGCTTTGGTGACGCTTTTGCGCGAGAACGAATGGACTGAATTGATTGTGTCCTCGGTCAGCGCATTGGCCAGCCTGGACAGGATGGTGACCTTAAACTTCTTGAAATCTTGGCCCATGAAGACGTACAGAATGGGGTTCATGCAGCTGTTAGAAGCCGCGATGGCGGTGACAAGAGGCAGCCCAATCTCGAAGACGGCGCTCGGAACTGACTGGTGGTCCATTTCCAGCAGGTGGAACGTATGGTAGGGACACCAAGACAAGAAGAAGGTGGTGATAATGGTGACAATAATCCTCAAGGGCTTCTTGGATTTGGCCAGACGGTTCCTTTTCAGCCGGAAAATTATGGTGATGTAGCATACAGTGATAATGATCATTGGTATGATAAACCCCAGCAAGAAGCGAATGGTGGTTACCATTTTGTGTCTCTGGTGGCCAAGGGCGGTGTCGTTTGGAGAACTGGACAAGGAGAAGTTGTGAAAGCAAAGGATGCGGTTGCCGGAGGTCGTGGTGTCTCGAAAAACAAGGGAAGGGGAGCTCATTAGGAAACCAATCACCCAAATTAGGACGCAGAGCAGCCAGGCGATGGTTGGTGTCCGACGCTTTTGGGACTGGACTGGGAAGACCACCAAGATGCAGCGGTCGAAGCTGATGGTGGTCAGCAGGAAGACACTGGTGTACATGTTGAGGTTGAGAAGCAAATTGTTGACTTTGCACATGTCCCTGCCGAAAACCCAGTGGAAGCCCATGGCCGTGTAGGCGATGTTCAGGGGCAGGAAGACGTTGAACAGGAAGTCGGCAGCTGCCAAGTTGAGGAACCAGACCGTGGTGACCGACTTCTTCATCTTGAGGATAATGGCGATGACCAAGCCGTTGCCCAATAGACCCAGGAGGCAGGTGACGCTGTAGATGAGAGCAGCGACCACTTGAATGACGGTCAGGGGGTCTATCTGGGGTTTTTTGCTGTATCCGTCTCTAACAGGGAAGTCATCCAAACTATAGTAGTCTAAGTAGTAATCCGTAGTGTTCTCCAATTCTTCCATGACCTGTTGGGGACACAGATTGGTCAAAAACTTGAGATGGTGCCAAGGTAGCTTCACACCACGGTTAGGAAACACAGAAGAGTGAAGGCTGATGGGACAAACCAGTGAGAGCTTGCCTCATTCTAAGACTGCCTGTAACGGCTGAGTAACAACAAAGAACTATTGTTGCAAGTCAGAACTAATTGGTATGGATGGATGGAGAAGAACATAGACTAATTTCTACACAACGTCTTCCTGGGATGACCCAGATCCTACTCAGTGATGCCAATCTCAATGCAGGGAAGGAGGAGGCTGAATGCAGCATCCTCCAAAAGAAATGAACATCCTACCTTGGAAAATGTCCCAGAATCCCTTGCAGGAAAGACAAGGCAGATCACACGTTAAGTAGGGGAACATCGGTCTGGTACCTCTGTTAGATCAAATTGTATTACAATACAATACAATAGCAGAGTTGGAAGGGACCTTGGAGGNGATATGCTGACTCTGTAAACCGCTTAGAGAGGGCTGAAAGCCCTATGAAGCGGTATATAAGTCTAACTGCTATTGCTATTGCTATTGTATCTGCACTTGGAACACAGTTGCCTTAGTTGGGGAAAACACAATCCGTATGGGAAACAATTTGAGATGACCACCTTTCCACAAATGAGAATACACATTGTGTATTCTCTCGTCACGAAAGATGAGCACCCCATGCCCCGCCTGTGATGGGGAAGAGGGAGGCAGAATAGCAAGGAAATTCCTCCAGTGGGAAACTCAGGCCGTTGCAATGAACGGGAGCAGAAAAACGGGGCTGCTTCTCCCTGCTGAACATCACAAATGTCAGTTTTCATTCAGATGGTTTGGGAAGAGGACGGATGAACAATATACCCCAGAGTGCCTGCCACTGGTGTGTCAATGAGAGCAAGGAGGATGGAAGCATAAGTCTTCCGTGCCGTGACAAAAGAAACATGCTTGTTTACCACTTTTGCGCTTTTTCCATAAAGCCGACGGTCCGCCATCTGCCAGAACACGGGGAGCTGGGATCGAAATGGGGATCCATCCAAGCAACATGGCAGCCGGGAAGAAAACAAATATGTCTTCCTTTTGTTTTGCTCCCATCCGTGTCTCAAACAAAAGGGGCTGATTGATGGAAATAACAGGCCTCCTAGCTTTGTTTCCAAAACCCGACAGCTGTGGGGGAGGGGGAGGAGGGGGGAGAAGCACACGGCGCCCCTTAATTATGGAAAGCAAGGCAGGCAGGACCCAAATGTGATGGGTGCCGCTGGGAGGAATCTCTCTCTCTCCCTCCCAATGTTTACGCGAACGAACGTGCGGTTGGAAGCAGCCCAGATGCCTGAAAGGGTGCAGAGGAGGAGGAGGATTGTGCAATGTGGCTTCACCAGAACCCATCAGCTCCTGAACACGGAGAGGGAGGGAGGGAGGGGAGGGGGAGGGGAGGGGGGAGGCTCTGAGAGGCTCCAAGAAGACAATGGAAGAAGAAGGAAGAAAAATGGAAGAACACCTGCCATTGAATCCCTGTAACAAAAGCAGAAAACTATCCACAAGAGATCATTCTTTTCCTTTCTTTCTTTCTTTCCTTTCTTTCTTTTTCCTTTCTTTCCTTCTTCCCTCTCCTTCCCTCCTCCCTCCCTCACTACCCCNCTACTGTTCGTTTGTAATTAGTAAACGTACACTTAATTTCAAGCAAATGGAGTTGAGTGGTTTCTTTCCTGATTATTAACTGAAGCAGCATCTGACACCCCTGGAGAAGACGCCCCTTCTTCTCTGGCAGGTCTGCCTGGCAACATCCTTCAAAAAGTGGAAGAGAAGTTGCCTCCAGAAGTTGTGAATGCCCCAACACTGGAAGTCTTTAAGGAGATGTTGGATAGTCATTTATCTGAAACGGTATAAGGTTTCCTGCCTAGGTTGGACTAGAAGACCTCCAAGGTCCCTCCCAACTCTGCTATTGTATTTATTTGGATAAAGAACATCTGGAGGTCAGCGATGCGTTTTCCACTCTCTCGGTCTCGCCCTTCATGTGTGCCTAACTCCCCCGGTGTCTTTGGGCTGAAATCTGAGGACAGCCTGTTCATGTTCACTCTGGAATCTTTATTTAGGCCGTGCCAAAGCCATGGTGGACGCTCCCTTCAAGGAACCTGTAAGAGGAGGCAAGGAGCAGATGTCCATTTCATGACATCAGCGGAGAGAACAAAAAAAAATCACGCTCTCAGCCGGCTTGCTCACATCTTGGCATTTCCGTTTCCTTAATACATTGCAAAAATAAAAATTTTAAAAAGATCACTTCTGCAGAGGAAATTCCCCACCACCCCTTCTTGTTTTCGTTGTGCTGACCATTCATATTGAGCTGGGAGGAACGTGAAGCAATCCAGAGAGCTGTTTATACAATCACCGAATGTCATCTGGAAAGCAGCCATATTGAGATCAATATTTCGCTGGCTCTGCTGCCCATTGCCCTAAATTCTTATCAGGCTGGGTTGGGGTCCGGTCCATTCTGACTAACCCAGCACTGTGGCTTGAGGATTATAGTTCTGTGGTTCCGTCGTGACTTCTTCAAACCCTGTAGTGGTTAAGTGGTGATTTGAGCAATGTGTGAACTTAATCACCGTTCCTTCTTGGCCTTCCTTCCTTATCTTCACTAGATAAATTCCTGGAGCGCTCACATCATGACCCAGAGCTGCTGGAAAAGCTGTGACTACAAAAGTGTTGCCTTAACAGTGTTGTGATTGTCTCAAAACGCCGGCTCTTGATAGAGCCTCTGATTGTTTGCAACCTTTTTCACGGGCTGCAAATCCCTGAAGCCAAGATGAAAAGTGGGGGGGGGAAAGCCCATTTTGCTGCAAAATTATTTGCCGTTTGGCCAGAAGTGAGCAAAGAAAATTTCGATTTTGCAAAAGGGGCCCCCACATCAGCAAACCTCCTAAGAAAACCAAATTATTTTCCTCTAGTTATTCCATCTTTTATTGTGTGTGTGTGAGAGAGAGAGAGAGAGACACACAATGTTGTAGGAAAGGAGATTACAACTGATAAGCAGGAAGGAAATGTTTGAGCCTTTGTTTGTCCTTAGCCATAAAATGGATCCTTTTCAATCTAATGGTACACACAGCAACCTTCTGTTGTGTTGCCCACCATGAATTAATGAAAGAATGTGTGGTTTCTTGGGGCAAAATTGGTTTCACTCCATTATTGGTGTGGGGAGGGACAGAATTCATACAGCTCTTTGAACCGGTTGCATAAAAGCAGAAGACTCTGCAAAACATGGCTGGTTTGAACCATGGCTTATCTTCTGCATCGCAGCCTACGATGCTAGCCTGAGCTAGTCTGAGGTTCCAGAAGCAGTGCAAATCTCCAAGGTGGTTTATTTAAGTGCCTGGTGGGAGTTCAGCCAGTTCCTCTGCGGATGGAGATCTCAGCCTCGCCAGGACCTTCCATTCTCCATGAATAACAGCCATTCAAGTCTGTTTTTTCAAAACTCTGGTTTGGAACAGGTCAGCCAAAATGGACAGGCCCGATTTCTCCTGTTGGTAGAGTGAGGTGTGATGGAGACGGTTCCTGGTCCACCAATAAGCCGTGATTTCCCCAAAGAAGACAAAACAGCCTCGTTCGCTCTGTCCAATTCTCAAGGAGTGGAATTCTCCCAGGTTCAGACAAAACCTGTCACTACCAACTCACCCATGAAAAGGGAACGAAGGAACCAATTGTAAAACTACTAGAACATGCTACATTATTTTTTTTGAAAACTTAAAACATCTTGCTGTTATTTTGAGACGGGTTTTTTTTTTCCTGTTCACAGGACATACTTAGTAGGGTCAGGGGAAAGTTAACATGCTATGCAAATAGCTTACTCTGTTAACCTATGAATTCTCTGGTTATCCCATGCGCAGGCGAAGAATGTTAACACAATTCACACTCACAAAGCAGAACACAAATAGGCTTCACGGTTCCTTTTTGCTTTTAACCTCCTTACAGACACACAAGAGTTGGAAAGAGACGGGAATTCACCCCAGTTTTTTTCCATCTCTAGCTCTTTCAGACCCCATTAAGACCCCCATTGGTAGTCTAACATCAACATCTGTTTGGCCAGAAATCTGACCAGGATGTGAAGCCAATTTGGAATTCTTGGAAGAATTAAGCATGACCACATCCACCGTCCTCTCAGGGCCAAATGGGACACCTGTTTTTGCAAAAGAGAAAATTAATTCCCTCCACTGACTTGGTCAGGGAGGAGATCTGAACAAAACCACCGAGCTGGCAGGAAGCAGATGATAAAACAAGGCGTCCATCAAGCAGTGTCCCTCAAGGTCAGACTATCCCGAGGTTCTCTGGCCTCAACTGGACCCAAATCCTCCTAATTTGACCTATGCAGGAAGTCCACAAAAGAGAAGCCAGCAACCACATTCACCAAGGAGAAACTGAAAGTTGGCGTTTTTTTTGCCATTGCCATCATATCTAATGGAGATTCTCAGCTGAGCTGGGTCAGGAAGAGGGGCTGCTATTTAACTGTACTTAAATACTGAAGGCTTGGCTGGTTGGTTTAATTGCATTGCTGGTTTAATTCGACTTTGGCCTCCCTTTCCCCAGCTGCGCTGCTCTCTAGGCGAGAAGGAAGGCAGGATAGACAGACAGACAGACAGACAGAGAGAGACACAAGAGATTAGATATAGATAGATAGAAGANACTCTTTTCACCCTTGAATTTCATTTTATTAGATAGTGCCTAATGCTCAGGTTTGTCAAGACCCTTCTGCATCTTGAGCCTGTCTTCATTAAAGCTGACATTTAAAAAAGAAGAAGGGAAAATCCTTTGGCCAGCAGAGCAGAGTGGCGTAAATTATTTAATACATAATAAATAGAAGGCTAACATGTTTTTTTTGCGTGAACGAAAAGCCCTGGTGGACTTTGAAATTTTAATGGCAACACTTTCAATACTCAAAACTGTTGTTAAAGACAATACAAAAGGGAGTAGAAAACTTAGATGGGTTATGACAACATTTCTTAGCCTTG